TCTTTTTTGTCTTTCTTTCTGAGACAGGGTCTCACCTCATTATGTAGTTCAGGCAAGCCTTGAGCTCACTTTGTAGTCCAGGCTGCCCTTGAACTTGCATCAATCCTCCTGCCTCAGCCTCCTGAGTGCTGGGATTACAGGCGTGTGCCATCATACTTGGCTAAATAATCTAGTTTTATAGGTTGGGATGATCACTGGAATATTTTTGGAGGTATTTTAAAAAGTAGCTACTTTTATATGGGTCATCAGTTTAGTGATCTAGATTACTACTTTTTATAGTAATTTCATTTTTAGTATATAAGTACAGCATTTATTTAATTATTTATTTTTAATTTTTTTTTTTTTAAGTACAGCATTTAATACAGATGCTGATTTTTATGGTTACAAACATCGAGTTTTGCTGATAATTTAAGTGGAGATTTTCTTAAGATTTCTAAGTGATATCTGTTGAGTAAACTATACTGGGTCTTTTTCAGTATTTTTTTTTTTGAAAAGTGATCCTTGTATGCATATATGTTATGACCGTTCTTGCCAGTTACTGTTGGTAATTGTAGTCCTTGCTGTTTAGAATTTAGAGTCTGTTTTGTTGCTGCTACTGAATGCTAATGTGGTTAGGCTGGCAGCTAACCCTACAAAGAACAAGAGGAAGTGAGGAAATGTCCCCTTGAAAGGTTGCTTAAAGCTATTTAAGCAGTGGGCTAGATACAGGGAGCTGGGGATCAAGGGGCCTCATTCTTGTTTTATGTTCAGAAGAGGGTGAAGCATACCCTCCTTAAGATATAAGCATACCCTGCTTACGTGTGTCATCTCTTTGGAGTTTTGCCATTCATTCACTAGACATTGATTAAGGGCATTCTGTATTCCAGGCATGTGCTAGGTGCTAGAATCACAAACCATGGGCCTGCTGTAGGAAGGGAGAAAGAGTGGCCTTAACTAACTACACGTAAGACAACTTGTTGGAAACTAAAGAATGGTATGGGGCTAGGAAGAGAAAGGGATTTCTTCTGGGGAGAGGACAGTGAGGGTACGGAGACAAGGTGAGATTAGGAAAGACATGAAAGGGAGGTTTGAGAAGGACTGAAAAGTGGGCAGCTGTTTTACTGATGGAAAGAGGAGGCTAGAGGAAGGGCATCAGTAGTGGAATTTGAGAAATAGCAAGTAGCTTTTACTCTAGATGTAGAGTAGTAGGAAGTGAAACTGTTGAGGAAGTTTGTAGTGCTGTGCTCCCAAGTATGTTTACTCTGTAGGTGTTTGATACCATCAGAGGTTGGAGAAGGAAATCTCTGGCTACTACTGTAGTGCTGGGAATTGAACCCAGGGTCTTGTACATGGTAGGCAGGGCCACACACATGCCAAGCAAGCAGTCTACGATTAAGGTACAGCCCCGACTCTTACTCTGGATTTAGATAGGTGATGTGAATATTGGATGAGATACCTTTGAGACTGTTAAGAGGAGATAAATTCTGGAGAAAAAAATTTTTTTTTTGTCTTTTTTGAGACAGGATCTCACTATGCAGTTCAGGCTAGGCTTGAGCTCACTTTGTAGCCCAGGCTGGTTTTGAACTAGCAATGATCCTCCTGCGTTTTGGGATTACAGGTGTGTGCCACCAGACCTGGCTCTGGAGAAAATTTTTACTTCACAGTCAGATCTGGGTGACTGTTGAGTTCAGGGAGTTACAGATTAAAGTCTGATTAATGGATGATGATACCTTTAGGATAGACAGCATAGGAAAAAGTAGAATTTGAGGAGGAAGGTATGATGGGTTATCTGTGGGAATGAACTGGACCTCAAGGGGACATGGAGATTAATTTGCATTCATCAGAATAAGGTCATATAGAAACTGACAATAGTGTATAATGTTAGGAGTGAGGAAAAAATTAAGTGTAACCTTAGTGGGGGTGGTCTTCCAAGAGTCAAGCGGAAGAAGAGGGGCTGCAGAGGAAAGTTGAAAAAGAGTGGCTGAACAGTTACGATAATGCTGTATGGTTGAAGAAGCTCCAGATTAAGAGAAACTAGGTATATATCTTAGTTACTTTTCTCATTGCTCAGACAAAAATACCTGATGCCCAAAGTTAAAGGAGGGAAGGTCTTTTTGGCTCACAGTTTGTAGTTGTAGTTGGCTGGCTCCAAGGTAGGGTGGTATGGCAGAGGGGCATCATGGAGGAGAAACAGTTCATGGCAGGCAGAAGGCAGCAAGCTACAAGTGACAAACTTTCTGTCCCTTTTATTTTATCCAAGCTCAGACTCAGCAGGGAGGGCCTTCCCGTTATCCAGTCCCAGAACTACATCATACCAGTCAGTGAACTAATTTGTAAGCGCATACTCTTGATCCCAGTATTACACATTCTAGATTCAGCCCTCTCTGAAAAGCCCCACGTACGACCACATGAGACTTTGGGGGGAACATCTGGATTCAGGCATAGCATCTAAATTACTACAGAGTTCATTGGGATACAGACTGGATTTGTCATTTAAGGTGTGTATGTATGTACGATTTTGCCAACCTTTATGATAGTTTAGACACAGATTTCTAGATCATTAATAAATACAGGGGTCAGGCCTTTAAAACTCAAATTAATAGATGATCCATGATTAGAATTCATCTTGTTTTTTTCCCTTTCTCTTATGAGATTGGTAACTTTAAAGTTTTAGGGTGCCCAGTGACAGAACTGCCTCCAACATCTCCATATTGTTGGTTCTTTTGTTTTGCTTTTTCTTTTGTTTCTCAATTTTTATTTTTTACCAGTACATGTTTGTGGTACATAATGATCACATTCCTTGCAGAGAGTTGATACATAATCATCTCTTTTTATCCCTCTCTCCTTCTCTCCCTTTGCATTTTCTTAAACATATTGGCAAATTCATGTGAGCCGCCAGTTTCTTTTTTTTTTTTTTTTTTCTTTTCTTTTTGGTACTGGGAATCGAACTCATGACCTTGCACTTGCCAGGCAGGCGCTGTGCCGCTGAGCTATATCCCTGGCCCAATTTCTTAAGAATTCCTCTTGAAGAGTTAGTCTCGCTATGCAGTTCAGGCTGGCCTTAAGCTCACTTTGTAGCCCAGGCTGGTCTCGAACTCGCAACAATCCTCCTGCCTCAGCCTCCTGAGTACTGGGATTACAGGCGTGCACTAACATGCCTGGCATCTCTTGAAGAGTTTTGAGGTCATATGATATTAATGTCAAATACGAGGGTTTTAAATGTAAAGTTCATAGTTTTGAAGTTCAGTGATGTATTTTGACTGTGTGACCCTGAATCTCCTGTTTCTTTGGGGTTTTTTTCTCTTTTTTTGATACGGGGAATTGAACTCAGGACCTGTGCTGTGCCACTGAGCTGTCCTCGGCCCTAACCCTGAATCTCTTGAAGTTGCCTGAAAAGTTTTGTGTGAGTGCATATGCAATTTTTTTCTTTGGAGAAGGTCCAGGCTCACTTTGATGAGATTCTCAAGATCTCTTGACACAGAGAAAAGCCTTTTTAGTAATGCTAATACTTAAGTGTTGGCTGAAATCAGTTATCTTGACTACTGAGATAGATCAAGGGAAAGAAATTTGGAATGAGTGCTTCAGGTGAGGATCATCTTACAGTTGGGAGTAGGGTGACCAAAAGGAAAATAGGAGCATCAAAGCAAAGCATAACCAATTTCGGAATTTTGCCAAGTTTCCTTTTTGGATTCCTTGTTTTTTCATACTCCAGGACTTACACTCATACGTCACTGTTCATGTACTCTTAAGTACAATAGGCTTTGGGAGAGGGGTCATGTTTCTTTCTTTCTTTTTAAGAAAATGTTTTTTGTTTTGGTTTGGTTTGGTTTTGGCTCTTTGAGACACAGTCTTGCTGTGTGGTTCAGCCTTCTCCTGAACTCATTATGTAGCCCAAGCTGGCGTCAAACTTGGAGCGATCCCCCGGCCTCAGTCTCCTGAGTACTGGGACTGCAGGCATGTATTGCCACACCTGGCCAAAAGTCTGTTTTGAAAGAAAACAAATTGGCTCATAGGAAAAAAATTTACTTTTAAGTTAGGAGCTGCTTATATTTTGGAAAATTTCTAAAGTGTACACATTTCAATCTAATAAGGTGGGGTAAGACATTCTTTTTTTTAACTTTTCTTATCATGAATTGAAATATTATTGACCTATTGGTAAGGTCTTTGTAAAATATGATTTTTTGGTGATGATGGTAATCTAACCTAGGACATTGGGCCTGCTAGGCCAGCATGTGTCACCAGCCATCTCCACACTTTTCCTCGCCATCCTTACAAGTAAAATAATGACTGCCAGTTGGCAATGTTTATAGTGTCCTGTAAAAGTAATATTGGTAAATTGAAGAGAGATATAAATAAATAAATGATTTTAAACATAAACTTGTATTATATAATTTTTTTTTTTTTTTTTTTTTTTTTTTTTGGTTTTTCTCCAGTACCGGGAACCAAACTCATGACCTTGCGCTTGCCAGGCAGGCGCTTTTGCCGCTGAGCTAAATCCCCAGCCCCAGTATTATATAATTTGTAATTAGCTTGTGTTTGTAGGTTACTTTTTTAAAAAGTTGACATATAATTGTAAGTATTCATGGGCTACAGTGTAATTGTTTTTAAAGTGTAGAATAATTGAAATTTATTCTCTCATAGTTCTGGAGACCAGAAATCTGAATTCAGTTTCACTGGGCTGAAATTGAGCTGTCAGCAGAAGGAGGCTCTAATAGAGAATCCTGCAGTGTGATATTTTCATAAATTTATGCAATGCAGTGATCAGATCAGTAATTAGCATGTCAGTTTCCTCAAACATTTATCATTTCTTTGTGTTGTAAGCATTTGAAATCCTCTATTCTAGCTATTTTGAATTGTACAGTAATTAGCAGTATTTACCATATTATGCTATAGAACACAAGAATTTAATCTAATTGTTTTGTACCATTAACCAACCCCTGTGTGTCACTTTCTTCCCATTACCCTTCCCATCCTCTGGTAAACACTATTCTACCCTGTACTTCTGTCATCAGTGTCTTGATTGTGATTTATGAGTGATAATCTCAGTGTCCTGTGTTTGGCTTGTTTCACCTTATATAATGTCCCTACGTTCATCCACGTTGCTGTGATCTTTGTATTCACTTTATCCACAAAGAATTCTAGAGTATTTTGTCTTTTCTTTTGGACAGTTTTGGTTTTGGTCTTTCATTAGGCAATTTTTTGGTAATACATCATCTATATAAAAATAGCCTGTGTGGGCTAGGTTGTAGCCTAGTGGTAGAGCACTTATCTAGCTTGTGTGAGGCCTTGGGTTCTATCCTAGGGCTGGAAAAATCAAAAGCAACAACAAAAAAACCAAATAGCCCACAAATAAAAAAAACAGCCAAAGTCTGTTAAGCAGGAGCTCCTTCATACAGCTCACATCTTATCACTGTATAGAATAAACTGGCCTTGAACTCCCTATGTACTGCAGACTTCCTTGACCTCATCATCCTCCTGCGTGCTAGGATTACAGGCATGTGCCACTGTGGCTGGCACAACTAACATTTTGACTCAAAACTTGCTCTGGTCCTAACTGTAAGAAAGAAATAATCCTAATATATCCCAGTTGTGTGACTGAATAGTAAATGTTTTGCCTTTTTAAATTTTTGGCTCTGAAGTTTTATCTAAATAAAAATTACTTTTAAAATTAATTCTGAGTCTGTGTTACAGTATGTGAGACAGTAAATATATTTTCTCCTTAAGGTAAAAAGACATGATGTGTGTTTATTGTAGGAAAGCAAAAAAGAAATCTTAATCGTAATTCCTTCATACATATTTTAATATATGAGGTATGATGAAAATATTAATATTTAAATTTTTAAAAATTATAGACGATACATTGCCATTAATTCTCCTCATAGTACTTCCCCTTGCCTCAAACATTGTATCATTCTTGCTTTTAAACAATTTTATTTTTTTTTATTTTTTTTTTTGGTTTTTTCTCCGGTACCGGGAACCGAACTCACGACCTTGCGCTTGCCAGGCAGGCGCTTTGCCGCTGAGCTAAATCCCAGCCCCCTTTAAACAATTTTAAAAGCCCTCTTTTGTAAGTGTCTTTAGTTGTGCTGTTGTGGCTGCTTCAGTGCGCTGAATCAGTTTTCATTTTTACTTTGGGGAAGAGCCGGATACCTCAGGGTGCCAGATCCAGGGAATAAACTGGGTGAGGGCACATTGTACTTTGTGTATGTGTGTGTTGCATGCATTCGTGTGCTTTAAACCATTTAGTGGTAATGTCATATACTGCCTTCAGTTTATTTTGATACATCTTTTTCGTATGGTGATTTAGAAGATCTTCAAGCCAACATAAATATTGGCCATTTAGGTATACACCTGCTCAGTCCCTCACATCTTTCATTAAGAAAAACACTGAAGAGTAAAGGCCTGACATGACTGACTAGGTACAGTGAGAGTCTGCTCCAAATATTTTTCTTTGAGATAAGAGCACTACACTGCTGTTTGATTAAGAAAACCATCCTTACAATTCAGGATGGTATTTTATTTTTAAGCAGGGCCTGGAACACCTTAGCTGCTAATTAACTGCTACATGGCAGAACTATACCCCCAGCTTATGCCATGAATTCATAGGGAATAGGTTCCCCCAACTCGGGCTCCTTGCCATTGGTTCTCACGAAGTGCGCTTCTCTGGGCGGGGCAGGCTGGCGCTTCACTTGGGCCCAGGTACCTTTCTGTTTGGCTTGCTTTTTCTGACCATTTTCCTTGATGCGTTTTAGGAAGCTGTCTCAAGTGCTTAATATTCCTAGTTTACACATATTTCTCTTGCCCAGTATTTTGTTCTTAACTTTCTTGTTTATGACAAAGCCAATAGCATGCTGGGTAACATTGTAGACTGTTCCAGTTTTGCCATAGTAACATTTGTGTGGCATTTCTTTTTGAACAGTACCTATTCCCTTGATGTCTACATTATCAGCCTTCCCATAGGTTTGCATATCTGTATGGCCAAAGGAGCAACCCCATGTTTTCTCAAAGGCCCAGAGAACATATATTGGGTTCTTCTCCTCTTTCCCTTTGTGTTCATTTTGGCAAATTACTGGAAGATGGTGATTCCAGCTGACAGGCCACACTAATATTTGTACGAACCTGCTTTTCTATTCACTACTACTTGTTACCAGTTTTCACCATGTTTTTGATCACACCTTGAAGATTCGCAGAACTGCTTCAGAAAGTGATGAGTAATGGATGAGATGAATGCTGAAAGCAAAAGGTAGTCTTGAGGGACCTTAATACATGTGCCTTTTTTTTTTTTTTTTTCTTCACTTTTTTTTGCAGGGGAGTACTGGGAGTCAAACACAACCTCATGTTTGCCAGGCAGGCACTGTGCCACTGAGCTATATCCCAAGCATGTTTTTTGATTTTTTGAGATAGGGTCTCACTGTATATACTTCAGGCTGGCCTTGAACTCACTGTGTAGCCCAGGTTGGCCTTGTACTTGCAGCAATCCTCCTGCCTCAGCCTCCTGAGTGTTGGTACTACAGGTGTGCACCACCACACCTGGGCATACTATAATAAATTTTTAAAATTGAAGCATTCACTATATTTTGATCACCCTTTGTATAGAATTTTAAAATATATAAGTATATTGTTCATACTTATATATGAACTAAGTATGCATGTTCATGCAGTTATTACACATAATGTACATGATAATATAGAATAGTATATAATTGTGTAATATCTTTGACCAAAATGTCTAACATTGTATTTGATATTATTCATTTACTTTTGTCCTAAAACATTCTTAATGGGATAATTACAAATGCGTTTATTTTAATGACATTTAAAATATTCTCTTCAAACACCTGTTTACTCCAGGGAATGCGTACTGTCTGTTCCATGCTCTGGTTTTGCCGAGGCAAGGGTAACATGGAGTAAGGGTATAAGGGCTTGCCCATGAGAGTTTACATAGAGAAGAATGAACACTAGACCCTGGGTTAACCTCAGTTTCATTCACATATTAACCTACTTTTTCTCCACTCTGCCATCATAGTTCCTGAGCAAAGATTCCTGTTTACAGGATAATTTATGAAATGAATATTGTATTATTTGGCTTTTTTTGTCCTGAGACATTTTGAGTTATTCCCATTGATAGCAAATTAAGTATTAGTAGCAGCAAGAATGTAATACAGTAGTGTTAGAAATACCTTCGTTAAAAAAGCTTTGCCTTTTAGGAGTTCAAAAGATTTTAAGTGCGTAAAATAGAAATATTTGTGTTTCTGTAAATAATCTCATTCATACTCTCCCTCAATAAAATATGTATGTATATAAAAATATGTATATTTCTAATGTTATAAAAGTAATGACTTTTTTTAAAGTTAGCTTTCTAAAGATTTTATACAGCAAAGGCTTTATTTTATTTTATTTTATTTATTTATTTTTGAGACAGGATCTCTGGAGTTCAGGCTGGCCTTGAACTCACTATGTAGCCCAGGATGGCCTCAGAGTCACTGTGATCCTGAGTGCCGGGATTATGGGTGTGAGCCACCACACCCGGCAAAGTTCTTTTTAGGGCTAGTAATGCAACCCAGTTTTCCTGCCTACTCATTTAGTTTTTGTCTTTTTTTTTTTTTTAGTTTTGTCTTAAATTCCTCTGAAAGTTGGTTTGCTTTTGTTTTTAGTTTTTGTACAGAATGGTCAATATACCTAGGGTAAATAGTTCCTTAATTACTGCAGTTAGTATCTGAAGTAAAGTCATTTTTCATGTAAGTACAGTCATACATTGCATGATGATAGGGACATATTCTAAGAAACATGATTCTGTGGTATTGGGAACATCATGCAGGGTGCTTCTGTTAACCTTGATGGTATAGCTGACTTTACACCTAAGCTGTATGCTGTTTGTATTGCTCCTAAGGTACAAGCTTTGTATAGCATATTACTATATAGAATACTGTAGGCAGTTGTAGCACAATGGCAAATATTTGTGTATGTAAGCATATCCAACAGAAAAACTAGTTAAAATAGCATGTACAGTTTAACGAGTGTTCTGTCTGTCTAAAACACCATGAATGGAGCTTGTAGGACTGGATGGAACTTGAGCTGGGTGAGTCAGTGAATGGTAGGTGAAAGTGAAGGTCTACGATATTACTGCACATTACTGCAGACTTTTTAAACTTTGTTCCTTAGTCTACCCTAAATTTATAAAAAATTATTCTCCAGGATAAATTAACCCTACTTTCTGTAACTTATTTTAGAAACTTTAATTTTTTAATGGGGATGGAACTCGGCATTGCACTGAACTATACACCAGCCCTTTTTATTTTATTTTATTACTTTATTTTATTTTATTTTTTGATCTTTTTTGAGACAGAGTCTCACTGGTGCAGTTCAGGCTGGTCTTGAATTCACTTTGTAGCCCAGGCTGGCCTCAAACTCACAACAGTCCTCTTGCCTCAGCCTCCCTGAGTGCTGGGGTTACAGGCATGCACCACCACGCCTGGCTCCAGCCCTTCTTGTTTTAAGACAGTCTTGCTAAATTGCCCAGGCTGGCTTTGAACTCATGATCCTCCTTTCTCAGCCTCTTGCATAGGTGGGATTATAGGCATGATCCATTGTGTCTGGCTAGTTTTTGTTTATAATCTCATTCCATAAGCTTTTTTAAAAAAAAATTATTTATTTACTTACTTATTTTTATTTTTTAAACGTCTTCCTCCCACCCCCAACTGGAGATTGAACACAGAGGCAAGGTATGTCTTAGCCCTTGAAGTTTTCATTTATTTATTTATGTATTTATTTATTTATTTACTTGAGACAGGGGGCTGGGAGTATAGCTCAGTGGCACAGTGCCTGCCTGGCAAGTACAAGGTCGAGAGTTCAATTCCCGGTACCAAAAAGAAAAAAAAAAAGGTCTCATTAAGTTGCCCAGGTTGGGCTTGAACTTTTGTTCTGCCCCAGCCTCCCAGAATGCTGGATTATAACGATGCACCACCAGTACTTTTTTTTTTTTTTTTTTTTTAGAAACTAAGACACACATTAACCTAGGCTTACGCAGGATGAGGATCATGAATATTACTGTTCTCTACCTCCAGATCTTCCCCTATGGACCATTTCCAGGGACAGTAACACATGGAGCTGTCAGCTCTAAGATGACAGTGCTGCCTTCTGGAGCCCCTTCTCAAGGCCCTGCTTGTAAGCAGGTAATACTGCTGAGCATTCCTGTTAATGAAAATCATTTGGTTTTGGATTCATGTTTTTAAACTTTAGGAGCTAATTGAGGTCCACAAAGCTTTTAAACCCTTGACTGAATTTTCTTGGTTACTCTGCAGTGTCTTTTTCTTCTGCCTTGTCAGTGTATTCCTGTTCTGTTTCCTCTATCATTTATGCCTGACAGTGAAGGTGCTTAACTTAGTATCTTCTAGACAAAGCAGGAGGTAGAGAACTTGGGAATAGAAAGTACCAATGTTTTGTTTCTTAAAATTTTATTTTCAGTTTTTATATCTGAAAAGTGAAAGCAGTAGTAAATTTTCACTTTGGATATGACCACAGTGGATTGTCTTCCTTCTGAAGGAATCCGTTTTATAGCCAAATAAATGGTATATACTCAGTGTCCTTTAGATAGGTAATCTTAATTTTTGGGCTTATTTAGTACTAATTTAGAGTGCTACAGTAGTGAATCTTTTAGGGTAGCACTATTTTGAACATTTTAGGTTAAGAATGATTTTCTTTAACAGTAACTACCCTCCCCCTTTGAGTGGTGGTTTATTTATTTTTTTCCCCTTTTTTTTTGTTTTTTTGTTTTTGTCTTTTTGAGACGAGAGTCTCTCTATGCAGTTCAGACTGGGCTTGAGCTCACTTTATAGCCCAAATTGGTCTTGAACTCACAATGATCCTCCTGCCTCAGCCTCCCAAGTGCTGGGATTACAGGCATGTGCCACTATGCCCAGTCAAGTGGTGGTTTATCTATCTTGTCTTTTTGACACAGGGTCTCGCTGTGCAGTTCAGGCTGATCTTGAACTCACTTTGTAGCACAGGCTGGCCTTGAATTCTCAATGATCTTCCTGCCTCAGCCTCCCTGAGTGCTGGGATTACAGGTGTGCACAGCTATGGCCGGCTTTATTTTGTCTTTTTGAGACAGGGTTTCAGTATGCAGTTGAGGCTGGCATTGAGTTCACTTTGTATCCCAGGCTGGCCTCAAATTTGTAACAGTCCTCCTGCCTCAGCCTCCTGAGTGCTGGAATCATAGGCGTGTGCTACCACCATGCCTGGCAAACTTCCCTTTTCAAACTTGGGCCTATTCTACTCTTGCTTGCCTCAATGAATAGTGCCATTTCACCGAGTTTCTCACACCTAAAGACCTTTTGTCTTTCCACATCTTCAAGTCCTTTGTAACCTAAATAAGCCTAATCTGTCTTCTTTTGTAGTAGTACCACTTTTGCCTGAATTGCTTTTGATTCCTGGACTGTTGCGGTAACATATGATGGTCCACTTGCATCCACTCTAGCCCAGCACTCGTCCATTCTCAGCACAGCTGGAATGAATTGATCTTTTCTAAATACACAAGTCTGATTGTGTTCTTACTGAATTTAGGATGAAGACACAGCGCCTTAATGTGACTGTATTGACTTTTTCAACTCATCTGTACCAATCATGTTTCCCTAACCATAAGACTTCTTGTTTCACTTCCTTCTGCCTAGAAAGGTTTTTTCTCCTTCTCTGTCTGGAAAAATCTTACAGATTCTTTGGGTTTCTGCTTGAGGATGATCTTGGAAAGTTTTATTCAATCTCCCTTATTTTTGAGTATTTTCTTCATCTTATGTGCCCATTTATGCAATTTTACATTTGTTGCACATTACTTGATACATGTCTGTCTTGCCCAGGAGTGGATAATATGTGTTTATTTTCAAGCACTGACATAGCAGTAAGGATTGCCTGATATATAAAAAGCTGTCAGAATTATTTGAATGATTGTAGAAACCTCGCAAAACTCACTTGTAACATATTACCTTACTGGTTGGCTTTTATTAATCTAAAATTTTATGACTTTACCATCTAAAATTTTATAATTTTATTTTTGTCTTTTTGAGACAAGGTTTCATTACACAGTTCAGACTGGCCTTGAACTTGCAGCAGTCCTCCTGCCTCAGCCTCCCAAGCACTGAGATTTCAGGTGTGGTCCAGCACACCTGACCTCATTTTATAATTTTAGAAACTCATGGGGAAAGAGATTATAAGCCATCCTGAGCCAGCTGTATTCCCTGACGTTAGTCTGATTTTGAACACATGTAGTAATAGGAAACTTATCTACCTTCTAGAAGTCTGGTTATTCTTTTAAGACATTTAGGTGGTTAAAAAGTTTCATTTCCATTGAAATTTCTCTTTGGAACTTTTATTTACTGATCCAGGGCTTTCCAAAGCCAGTATAGTTTCCATTTTCATTATAAAGTCTTCTGAGTGTTCTCTATTTTAAATATCCCTACATCCTTCAGTCTTTTTGGAAAGGGTGCACTGGGTGGTACTACTTTTCTAGAGCTTCCATAACAGATTACCACAAACTTACTGATTTAAAACAAACAAAAAAAATTTGTTCTCTTACAGAGCTAGAGGACAGAATCCAGAATCAAGGTGTCTGCAGGGCTCTGCTCCCGTGGAGACTCTAGGGGGAGAATCTGTTCTTTGCCTCTTCCAGCTTTTGGTGGCGTTCTTTGACTTGTGCTCACATCACTCCATTGTCTGCCTCCATGGTCACATTGTGTGCTGCTGTTTACTCTCCATCTGGCTCATTCTTATATGGACATTTGTCATTGGATTTAGGACACACCCACAGAATTTAAGATAATATTTTACTTAGAGGTTCTTAATTTAGTTACATCTTCAAAGACCCTTTTCCCAAATAAGGTTAACATTCACAAATTCCAGTGATTAGGACATGGACATATCTTTTTTGGTAGCCACTTGTATTAGCTTTTTGTTGCTGAGAGAAAACATCTGACACAACTTAAGGGATAAAGGGTTTATTGTGGTTCACAATTTCAGAGGTTTCAGTTTGTGATCAGCTGGCTCTGAGGCAGAGACATCATGGAAAGAGCATGCAGAGGAAAGGTACTAACCTCAGGATGGCCAAGAGGGAGAGAGTGAGGGAAGAGCTATAGCGGAAGGGGCCAGGAAGCAGATCTAGTTCCCAAGGTCATGTTTCTGTGACCCAGGCTCTGGAAGTGTGCTTTAATAATGTAGGCATCTCTCAGTCCCATCCAGTTGACCATCACACCAGTTTTCAATCCACTACCGGCTCTGAGATTAAATCCTGATAATGCCACCTACAAGTTTTGCAACCTTAGGTATATTAACTCTTCTGAACCTCAATTTCCTTAATTTTAAGACAGATAATAATGCCTTTATCATTGATTTGTGAAGAAAATTTATATGAAATCCCTAACACATGGTAGCTACTTCATTAAGTGTTGCCTTATTCATATCAAACTCCCCTGACTCTTTTGTACTGTGTCAGCATGCCTGGATAGCATATGTGGCCTAGAACCCAGCATGAGTTGTAGGAGTAGTGTAATAAATTTATAGTAAATTCTGCAGTATCTCTGATTTTCCTGTGTTCTAGATACCAGTTAGCCAACTGTGATGTAGACCCATGTTTAAATTCAGGATTATCTGTAATTACATTATAAGATTGGCTCAGTAAGCTTAATATCCCAAATATTTTTCATGGATGATTAGAATTACAGTCTGCCTAAAAATGTATACATCAGGGAAAGAAAAACTTATATAAATATTTTAATACTAAATTTATTGAGGCATGCCTGTAATCCCAGCACTCAGGAGGCAGTGGCGGGAGGATCATTGTGAGATCGAGGCTAGCCTGGGCTACAAAGTGAGTTCAAGACCAGCCTGAACTGCATAGTGAGACCCTGTTTCAAAAAAGACAAAAAAGAAAAATTTATTGAGACATCATGAGATTAATGCAGTTGGGCCTGGTAGTGTGTGCCTGTAATCCCAGCACTTGGGAAGCTGAGTCAGGAGGATTGTTGTGAGTTCATAACCAGCCTGGGGTACGAAGTGAGCTCAAGGTCAGCCTGAACTGCACAGTGAGACCCTGTCTCAAAAAGACACGCCCCGCAAAAAAAAAAAAAAAACAACAGAGATTAATGCAAGTTAGCTTTGGCCTCCACAGTTACAAGAGGTGCTCAAAGTGTTGGCTATTAACTTGCAGACATTTATTAGTACAGCAAACTGCTGAAGTATATACATTATTTTGGCAGACTCTGTACATTGTTTTGTTAGGTATTTAGATACAGTTGTACTTTGATACAGGTTACAAGTGTTGTATTATTAAGTCATAGTACTTGATAGATATTATAAGTTAAATACACATTGAATTTAGTGTTGCTGTGTGGTTTAAGGAAACTTACCTGTTGTGCTTCAGAAATATTTAAAACAAATGCTGTGATAATATAAAAAGGAAAAGAGCTACCAATGAAGGGGCAACTAGATCAGCTATGTTGGGCAGATAGGCGGTATCATTAGGTTCCCTGGTATTCAGATACTTCTTGAGGTATCAGTGGCTGCTCACTTCTGGCTTATGGACAGCTTGCTTTTGATGTGTCTGTCAGCAGTGAGCTGTGTGTTCATTGCTGAAGTGACAAATGTGCATCCAGAGATTTCTGTTTTGTTTTGTTTTGTACCGGAAATCGAACTCAGAACCTTGCGCTTGCCAGACAGGCACTTGGCCACTGAGCTATATCCCTGGCCCTGACAGATGTGCATCCAGTGATTTATATATCTACTCGTACTTTTTGTAATTAGATAAAATACTAGAGAAATGAGTGGTATGGAAATGGTATCTTAAAAATACCTAATTTTGAGTTTTTAATTGTATACACACAATTAAAAAGTCACATAGTATAAAAACGAATACAGCGCAAAGTGAGTTTCCCTCCCTCAGTTTCCCTTTCTGCAAACCACTACCCTCACAAATGCTATGGTAACGTATATGGATAAAGTACTGTTTTCATTTCTTTAATGACTTTTTTTTATCCTAATCCTTAAGACCAATGTAGGGTTTCAAGTTTTTTGCCCTATTGCTGAAGGACAGGGAACCATATTCTATAGGCTTCCATCACTAATTTGATTGTGTGGGACGCATTCTTAAGAGAATTGTATATGATTTTGTCATTTGTGAAAGAATATT